CACCGGGACAATCCCTGCCCGCACCGGGACAATCCCTGCCGGCAGCTCAGCGTCTTCCAGCGCAGCTCCGCTCCCAGTCCCGTCTTTGGGCTCCCACTGCTTGTGCCCTCCTGCAAAAAACGATCACGGCACGGCACGGCACGGCACGGCASGGCACGGGTCACCCCATCCCCATCCCGACTCCACCGACCCCACGGGCTGCTGCAGACCCCGGGGAACGCCTCGCTCCCCCGTTATCGCTCCCAGGAGCCGACTCTGTTTTTCGGGGATGCAATTTTGCACGATGGAGGTCTCACGGACCAGGGGTGCTGCTGCTCCTAACCCAGAGGAAGACACGGTTTGGTGTGTGGGGTCCCAGCCCCRGCTGGCACGAGTGGGGTGCCCCCAWCACTTCAGCACCCCAAGGGGGTTACCCCAAAGGCCTGGGGAAAATTTTGGGAGCAGCCGAAGCCAGCGAGGCTCAGTCCAGCTGGTTCATACTAAAGAAGGGTCACCAAGGGCATCCTCGTGGCGGGAGGGGAGGACCCGGCTCAGTGGGTGCTGCAGAAAAGGGATGGGTGCAAGAGGAGRGGGCTGTCTTTAGTTATTGTTATTGCTGGTGAATTAGACCAACAAGCCATTTTTAGTCACCTATCAAGGAAGATACAAGTCAGAGCAAATAGTTAAGGTCATGGGCATTTTTCTTGTTTTTTGTTTTTATTTTTTTTTTAAGATTTTTATATATATACATATATTTAAAAAGAGAGGAAAAAAAAATTACGCAAATTTTGTTGTTTAAGCCCCGCAACCGGGCTCCCCATGGATGCCAACAGGCAGGGCCCGGGCTGCCCCTCTCTGGGTGCCCCATGGGGCCAGGGAGAGGCCCAAAGCCCCCCGAGTTCCCCGCAGCCCCCCATTGGGGCAGAGGTAGCTCTCGGTGCGTTTTACAGCGCCTGTTTTTTCTTTCTTCCAAAGTTGCTACATCAAAATATGGAGTCGGTGGGAGTACAGCGGGAAGCAGGGGACAGGGAAAAATCAAAATAAAACAGGGGCCGAAATACTTCTATTCATTTTAAACTAGAACTGCTACATCAAGCTTTCTTTTAATATATATGTATATGTATATATATATGTGTATATATATATATATATATAAAGGTTATTGGAACTGTAGATTTTATTAAAGGCCAACTTGGAGACTTGAGTAGGAACCTCATCTGCAGAGAGGGGCAGCCCCCTGGGACAGCCCCACTCTGGTTCCCATCAGCAAGCATTGGACGTTTGTTTGGGTCATGATTCCTTTTTTTTTTTTTCCCCTTCTTTTTTTTTTAAAAAAAAGATAGGGGTTTTGTTTTTTTCTCTAACATTTTTCAGCATGCAGGAGGCTTTTACATCGTTTTCACTTGTTAAGGTGAGGGAGGAGGTACAAGGAGCAGAGGAGAGCCCCGTGTACCTTCCCCACTCCCCACTCCCTATGGTCAGTGCTAGAACAGGTCCCCCCCACCCCAGGTCCCCGACACGGGGGTCTCCTTCCTCCCTCCCCACTCCCACCCACCTCTTCACAACCTGGCATCAAATAAAGACATTGATCAAGAACTTGCTCACATTACCACGAACGGACTCCACTCAGCCAAGAACGACTACTCACTCACTAACACAGCGGCGCGGGGCCACCGCCGCTCCCAGCTCAGCCCCTCCAGCACCGACACCAACATTTCTGAACATTTCTCAAGGATGGCTCGTCCCCCCCCTGCCCGCCCCCCGCCCCCCAACTCGTGCTCCAACCACTCTCTCGACATCAGCGGGAGAATTCTGTGCAATGAACGGATAAAATACAACCCTGGCGTGGAGGGGCTGGATATGATGGAGGCAGCAGGGGAAGGGGAGAGGCTCCCAGAGAACAGCAATGTCCCCCTCTCTGTTCCAATCTGAAGGCAGATTTTGAATGAGAACTGGGTCAGATTTAGGAAGGATGTGGCCAGTGCTGGCCAGGGCTCTGAAGCTTTTGCTGAGGCCACGCTGACACGGGGAGGGACGGATGCCACGGCCGTGCCCTGGGACAATGCCAGGGGCTCTGGGAGTTCATCCATCACCCCCCAGCCCTCCATCACCCCTCCATCACCCCCCAGCTCCCCCACACTGGCGGGTCCAAAGCACGGCGCCTTTCCCCGGGGAAGCGCTCGCATCCCGACCGCTCCTGGCTGCACACACCACAGGGATGGGACAACCAGGGGATTGATTTCTTAAGAGCTTTGGAGAGGAGGGGAGTACCAATTCTGCCCAACAGTGTCCCGTTAGCACRGCATTGTTATTTTTGTCTTTACTTTTCCCAAAACATCACAATCTACTACAGCCTGGGAACATTGTYCACCCCTCCACCCGCCTTCCGCCCCTACGGACTATTTTACTGTTGATGCAGAACAGTGGAGGAACCCCATGATCCCACCATCATTTCACAGCCTCCAATTGGTATCTGAAGACTGAAAGTGGATCTTGATCAGCACAGAGCACCAGCACCACCTGCCCCAGCACAGCGAGCTCAGCCCTGTCAATAAATGGCCTGAACCCGCTGTGCCAGGGCACAGACAGCAACTGGGAGCAAACTGAGCACAAGAGGGGATGTTCCCAGGAACATTATTACGATGAAAATAAAGTCTCCTGTAACTGAAGGGAATAAAAAAAAATCTCAGGCGATTTTTTTTTCTTTTTTTTTTTTTTTTGCTGTTAGAACTGTCTCTGCCAAGTTGCGAAACTTGTTGGTTCAGTTCTAAATCAGGGTCCAGGATCTGTGAGCAGAAGTCGAGGGGTAGGAAACAGGGAAGCAGTGGTAGTGGGAGAAAAATTATATCTATCTGGGTTTATATACACATATATATATATATATA